ATTTTACAAGGCAAAGTAAACAAAAAACACTGATGACGATCATTATTTTTTTTATTTACTTTTATGGTTACTATCTAATATACGCGACTCAATGACAAATAAACATTATAAATGAATGTTTTATGGTATTATGCCTGAATAAATAATTCGAATATTCGCGCCATTACTTTCGCCGGGGACTGTAATAAGGTACGGAATTTGTAACATTAATATTAATATTAAGAAATTTTGCATAATAATAAAACGGGTTGTTGACGGATCACGGTTAGCTTATTATTATTATGTGATTTTTTGGTCCACAAGTGGGGGACACGAAATAGTCTATTTTATTAAAATTGCATCATTGATCATGAATACTACACAATAGGATACTAGGATGCTTCGCATCCAATGCTAATTTTGATACTCCGAACAAATATATGTATATATAGTGTAATTGAGTCATGTAATTTTATATAATATTATGTATTTCGTAAAACTCTGTTACATTTTCGGGTTTAAAAATTTGTTTGGTAATAAATCAATTCTATATATATATTTCCAATCGGTACACTATAGCGAACACCTGATTGAATTTTTGGCAGTTCAGAATAAAGTTTTTACACTGATTCCTATCAAATTTGTCCAGAGAAACAATTATTAGATGGGCAAATCTTTGAACATTATACGATCATAATAGTGAATTCATTTAAATCATGTATTCGTGTAATGTTATTTGTTTTTGTTAGTCATTTCCATGATGTATAAAAAAGATTGTTATTTTGATTACTGAAATAAATCAGTTACAAATGAATAAAAGGAACTTTATAGAAGCCATTGAGCTTTGTAAAAGAGCCATTTTATTTATTACAATTATTCAATACAGTCATAGATTTGTCGAAGGAGGCAGTAAACAAGCAAAGAACCAAAGTAAATTCGTAAACTAATGAATCAGCAAGCACCGAATTATTATTTGTAATTAGCTGACAAGAGTAGCCCAAAAATTAAGCTGTAATTAAAAAGCTACCTTGCAATGTCACCATTTAACAAGAATCAGTAAACTTTATTATAAGAATATTATTATAATTTAGAAATAAAAATGAAATAAAATAAATAATTATAACGAATAAATTTATAGTGGAGATTAAATTAGTCACCCATCGATTCT